CAAGTATGGAGAACAGCGATAGATGGACGGACGCTGAAGTGCAGGCACTTGTAGCAAATGTAGCACTGCCAGTTGTCGTTGGAGAGTCTTAGTCCTCCTTTCCGTTCTTTCAATAGCTTTATGTATACGTCAACATTCAATGTCCATTATTGTGAAACCCGCGAGACAACAAAAACACAGCTCCGATCATAGTCCTCCATCCTCCGGTTGTTAATGTTGTTTTTCTTTGTTTTCGTTGTTGAACGCCGCGCACAAATGACTTCGCTGTCAACCGGCTTACGTCACTTCCTAGTACACACTGTCAGTGCGAATGCAACCCTTTGAATGGTACTGGGAAATAGTTCGCGCAAAATCGTCCCAGTAGTTTAGTACCGTACATTTAGTTCTGGAACTAAAGCGGTGCGAAAGGGCCTAATAGTTTACACTTTATTCATCTGCAAGTTACAGCTTTGATTTTTCTATTATTTTTTCAGTCATAGGCTACATGTTTTTGTGTCCTACTGGCTTGATTACTTCAGAGTTATTGTTTTAAGAGACTCTTGAGCTTCTAGCCATCTCAAAGTTTTATGTTCACCATAAAATAAATAATAGCTACTGAAGTCTTCTGAGGCCATTTTAGAGCAATGGCGGTCTCACACGGGAAAGGGCGGAATTACCTATTGAAACCAAACCTGCGTTTATGTGACGAAAGCGATTCCATAAAACGCATCAAAGTAGTAGGCTACTGGTACGTAAGCGTTATTTAGTGTAAAATTCTTTAAACAATAACACTTACTGCACTTGACATTAACAATAGTGGTTATTTCACAATGCACTGAGGACATCTGCCTTTGTTATAGAATTCATACACGCTACCTGTGGCTATAATAGTGCACAGTGATGTTTACTTAGTCCATGGCTCTCAAAACACTGTATTCAGGAGAATAAAGCCCCTCGAGGCTTATGCAATCTTAACCACAAGCATAAAGATATTACAAGCAAACAGAAAATGAAAAGCTTTGTTTGACGCTCCAGCTCTTGCAGTGTAGGCGGTGGCTTTAAATATGTTAGGCTATGCCCAGAATTATATTTGCATACGAGTATATGAAATTCGTTCATTAATTAATGTAAGCATACATCTTTTGAGTGTGGTGGAATGAAAGAGCCTATCTGATAGCAGGCTGATCAAAAGAATCCTTTGGAACTTAACAAGATTAATTAGCTTGTTTTTCCTTAATTAAACTAGAGTAAGCATAATAATGCTAGATAATTAATTAATCAGATATGATTCAAATAATATATTCTCTATAGAATGTTTACAACTCAATCAAAATACAGAAAACATAGTAATGGATTATACCTGACCAAGAGGGTAAAGAAAATTAAGCTCATATATCATATGCAGTCCTCGCTACCAAAGTTTACACGAATAAATAAAAATGCTGTGCTAGAGTGACCTCTAGGTGTCATGGGAAAAATGTATTTATAGTGATATCAAGACTGACTTAGCTTTGCCCTCTGCTGGTGGCTTTAATGCACAAAAATCATTGCACACACAGATACAATAAACAAATAATGAGCTTTATTAAGTTATTATGCATGTACTGTAAAGAATCAAACAAATCTACAATTAGTATTTATTTATTTTCCTTTTGTGTAAGAGTATTACAGAGAGTAACAATTTGTCATCGTCTTCTTAACAGTTACAGTCAGTGGATTCAACAAGGCAAATAAAAGAAACACACACACACACCTCTAAAACAAACTTCCCTCACATCAAAGCAAATATTTAACACACAACCCACATGGAGAGTACACTGTTTTGAGAAGAAAACTTTAGCTCATATTTCATACTACATAAAGATCACTGTGAAAACAGACAGGAAAAACAAGTTTAAAAGTTACATAAAAAAGGCTAACATTTTGGTGTGGAATACTGTAAATAATCCGAAGCTGAGTTAGGACAGGTTATTCAAATACATATCTAAAAAACTTTTTTGTATCTATGCAACATTACTGATTAACAGCTGATACACTAACATGCAAAGTAAGCATAAACAAAAGCAATACTGATAGACTGACGAATTTCCTTCCTGCTCAGTGCTGAAAAACATTAGTCAAGACAAAGAATGAACCTTTCCGGACAAACAAATTATGAGACTTTATGCATTTATGTATCAAATCCAGTTCAGTTTGCTCATACAATTAAACTGAATCCCTATTCTCAAATAAAATAGGTAGACTGCTTAGCTTTACAAGCTAAAACTATTCCCAGTGAAGCGACTTTGTCATGGTGGTCTATAGAGAAAAGCTGTACAGTGTGCATGTTTAAAATCCCATCATAGCTGTTCACTAAACACAATTTAAAGGGAAGGAGGAAGAGAAAAAACTCATTCAGACACACATGTGAAACCTGCATTCAGACTAGGTCTGCATGTTTCAGATGCATTGATTGCTATTGTCTTCTATGTTTGTGGATGCGTTCAGCAGAGTGATTTAGGCCGCACTTTCGGAAAAAGCTGCATGAGAGAGAACGAGAATAATTAGGTTAATTGAAGACCTGCCAAACCTCACTGTCCACTGCATGCTTGTAATAGTATGAATATTAGGACATAAATGACCTTGTATTAACTAAGTAAAAATTAAAGGAATGTATGAAAGACAAAGGGTTGTGACACTTCACCAGTTGAACAGCATTTTAAATATTGCAGTGGAAGACACCAGCACATGTTTTGTTTTTGAATTCAATGCAGAGTATTTAGGTGACAAATTTGAACACGAGTGAAATATGCAGAGGAAATGTTTTCATGTTAAACTCTCAGTCGTGTGGATTCCCAAATAAATGGCTGTCACCTGCAAAATTCTGCAGAACAACGGTAAGTGTGTATGTACCCCTAGACCAGTGTTTCTCAACCTTTTTTTACTTAAAGGCCCCTGATTTTCCAACAAAATTATCCAAAGGCCCTCTATATTGGCTAAAATATTTCTGCTCTAATCATGAAATCGATGCTGGGAATGTTAATATATTACATAGAATTATTCAACCACAATTCATTTTGTGATCCAGAAGCTCCAATGATTCTGCATTTTCTTTAATTAAAACTTTATTGAAACAACCCATCTGTGGGGAAAGAAAAGAAAAAGAAAAACAACTAGGGGAAAAACAAATATGATTTCATTCAATCTTGATTTTGTGTGTTTTTAGAATTGTAATTAAGTTATTATATATATTTAATTTAATAATTTAATGTCATCCCGTCCCCCCTTTTGAAGTTTGCCAAGGCACTCTGTTGGAATGTTGACCCCTTGACCTCTAGCTGACCACTATTTTTCTTGTAAAAGAGCGCTTCTTACCCCAAAGTAGTTGTTTGGTACGAAGCCCTCCCTGCCACACAGTGAAGCCCAGGACCAGTCCACCCCTTCAGGCTTCTGCAGGATGGTCACCATGTCTCCTTCTTTGAAGCTCAGTTCATCTGGAGTCTGGGCAGGATATCCCCAAAGAGCGTACACCACCCCACTGTTCTCTACACCCATCGCTTCCTCCACACCTAAACAAAAAAACATGCTTAATGGTGACTAAAATAAATTAAACTACTTTATACAGTACAGCACTGTGCTCAAATTACTCATTGTTGTGATCCGTCTCCTCGGTGTCACCGTAGCGCCATTTTGGAGAGTATCCACTAAATGCAAACTGCGTATGCTGTTCTGTGTCAGCTGCACCACATGGATAAGTGTTCTACGTTTATTTACGCTTTGATTTGAATGAAAACAGTGTATCAGTGTGGTGCGGCTGACACAGAACAGCATACGCAGTTTGCGTTCAGTGGATACGAATTGTTGAATAAAGTCGTTATTTTTGTTTTCTTTGCGTACAAAAAGTATTCTCGTAGCTTCATGAAATTCAGATTGAACCACTGATGGCAGATGGACTATTTTGACGATGTCTTTCACACTTTTCTGGGCCTTGACAGTGTTATTTACTGGGCAGTCAATGGGACAGTCACAAGCCTCCCGGTTTTCATCCAAAATATCTTAAATTGTGTTCCGAAGACGAACGAAGCTTTTACAGGTTTGGAACGACATGGGGGTAAGTGATTAATGACAAAATTTTCATTTTGGGGTGGAGTATCCCTTTAATAAGGGTGTATTAAAATGTCATTTCCACCCAATAGTTTCTGAATTAGCTGACTAGTACTGACCGTTGTTTCCAACCCATATGAGACGATGATACTATTAACTCAGGAATGTACAGCTCATTGTGACATGCTAAATATAACGCTGGGAGTTAACGCACATGTAGGTGTTTGCCTGAAAAAACTGGTGTTGCGCCATGCGGTTTACCTGTGTACACAAGTAAAGTCTGTTTTCATTTTTCTCATGACATCACCCTCACCTCTCAGGAAGCTCTCACACTCCTTGTAGCCCGGGGCGTAGGGGTCACACTTCTGTGCCGCTGTGGCCCCATCACTGTCTGTCACGGCCATCACCGCTGCTCCATTCCGCACCAGAAACTCACACATTTGCTGGTCATTACAAGATGCAGCGCAGTGCAAGGGCGTCCTGGTTAGTGAGACGAAAGTGAATATGTGCTGTTCACATGCAAATATATAAGAATTGATATATATATACTTATTAAATTGATCATCTCACCAGCCGTGGCTGTCTGGAGCGCTAACGTTAGCCCCTATCCGCACGAGAAACTCCACCACTGGGAAGTGTCCACCACAGATGGCATTGTGAAGGGCTGTGATGCCTTCATCATTAGCCTGGCTTGGGTCACTCACCTATACAGGGACACACAAGTGCACTCTTAAAATGACAAACTGAACAATTATGTAACATTATGAAACATTTACAAGTAGGATGCTTTTGCATTTTAACTACGTGAAAGACTTAAAGTTTTGAAAGTGTCCCTATTTTTTCTCATTTATTTGTATTTTGTTTTTCAATATACATTATGTATTTTTAAAGCATTTTATATATGCAAGAATTTTTATTTTTTGTTATTATTTTCATATTTATCATCATTTAAAATATTTTACATTTAGATTTTATCTGTGCTGGAGTATTATTATTATTATTATGTTTTTTTAGTTTCTAGTTAGAAAGGCCTCAGAACATTTTTATAAACATCAAAAAAGTCAGTTTTTGTCCCTATTTTAGTGCACACAAGTAGTAATTTCTTAGCAACCTCAAATTTTTATTTTATTTAATTTTAAAATATTTTTTTAGCAAGCTAATTCACTGCTAGTTTTTATTTGTCATTTGTTTAAATAATTTTTAAAAGTTTTATATTCAAATGTAAAAACAAAATACATTAAAGACTTGGTCCGTCATAATATCATGGTCAAGAGAATTCACAATAACAATATTATTGTGATATCTAACATAATTTTGCGGCGGGGGTATTTTTTCTGTTTTATGACAGATGGCAACCAGCATTATGATGCAATACTCCTGCGTACCATATTGGAGTGTCAACCAGTTACTGACACTTTATTATTTACAATATTATTTTATGTGCAATAATATCACAGTATTTCAAATTTTTTTTATATATAATGGTTATCATCAATAATGGTATATACTGACACACGCCTACCCTGTCTTACACTCAATGAAGTTGTGTGGTGCCTGTTTTTTGGTGTGCTGTTGCCCCAGACTGAAAGTAACCCTATTCAGTGCTGATGCTAGTTGCCACCACCTCTAAGCTACCATAGTGCAAGGTACCAAAGCAGTGAGACATACCTCCTGCGCAGCCCTCTGCACAATTTCTAACTCTCCTACTAAAGACCCATCCAACATCAGCACCAGTGGGCTAAGGTGAGCCCTACGGCTGGAGGATTTATTGGCTTTGCTGCCCTTCCGTAAGATAGAGTGAATACCCTGAAAGAGAAGAGAGATTCAAATCAAATATCCTCTTAACTGTCACTGGTCTCTACTGTATCTGTGTAATCTGTCTGCCCCTCACCTTCTGTTCAGAAGAGACCTGTATCTCTGTGATTGGTACTGGAACTATAGCTACAGCAGATTTGGAAGTGTCTTCCCCATCTGAAGAGCTGTTACTTTCAGCAGCTGGTTCTCCTTTGACACGGATGGTCTTCCTGCGAAACAGTTTATTGATCATTTGCTTGTAATGGTTGTGCGGTTGGGTAAGGGGCAGGTTGTACAGGGTCTGAGGAATTTCAACTGAGCCGCGTTTCTTCAGGGCCCTGGGGAACTCGGCCCGGATACGCATCACTTCGTCCAGGTCAGTGTCCAACTCTGTCTGTGGGGCCACCATGGGCTGTAGACGTGTGGGGCTGAGAGGGCGAGGAGGCATCTCTGTATCCTCCACTTTACCCTCTTCTTCTGGTTTCATGCCTTGGTCAGTTAAGTTCACAGGGCCTTCTGTTTTGTCCTGTCTCTCAAGCTCAGCATCAACATCTCCAGGGTGAAGTACTGCTTATAAGAAAAAAAATATATAATGAAAAATGTAAATTGCAAACTGCAGTTAAATACATACATACATGGGTCAAAGACAAATAATCGTGTCCATAATAAAATAATAATAATTTAAAAACGTAGTTCCTTGAAATGTAATCTTTGTATTAATTGTTTTCAAAATGGTTTTAAAAACAAATGATTCATTTACAAATATTACATTTTTGGGGAGTTGCACAACATGACATTTTCAAACTAAACTTGCCTTCATCATATAATGGTCAAATTATCTGATATTGTAATAGACTTACTGACCTTGACACAGTCATGAGGGTCTGCAGGGATCCACTCTATGATATAATTTCCTGATTTATTATTTATTTTTTTCTGCATGTTGGTTTAACCACATGATTTTGATTTGGCAGACAGTTCAAATATTAATATATAAAAAAATACAACACTAAATACATTAAATATTTATTTCATGAATGTTTAATATGTGTGGAAATGTTAATAATCAGAATAATAGAAATAATAATACAAGACTATGCCAAGCTACTGTACATAATGATGTTTTATTTAAATAATTAATTTGAAGATTCCTTTAATGAGTTTTTAAAGTGATTTTACTGTATGTCCCCCTCAAAAAAAAAATCAAAATGAATTTTATTTCAGAAAACAAAAGCATTCTCATGACATGTTGTTTCAAAGTCACTGTATGCATGAACTGCATTTTTTTTTATGTATTTTTAAATACATTAATAGATGCAGACCAAAAAATGAGTGTCAAGTCATTGACTCATATACGAGTGCCTGTCGGCCCACTCATGGCTTCTGGTTGAAGGTACCTTCTCTATAGTAGGGAGGTTGTCTTTGAGGTTGCGGTGTCTGATTTTGCCGCAGGTACTCTTGGGGCAGGGGAAGATGCTGAGGCTCTCCCACTGGGCCAGGGGCGTATCTGCCGTCAGCCGCAGCATAGTACGGGTTCTGGAGCCTCATGATGACAGAAAGCGGGATCGGCCTCTGCTTACTGACTCCAGAGCTTTCAGGTGGAATGGAGATACGGGAACTGATTGGCTGAGGGCCGTAAGGTGAGCTGGTGCCGGAGGCGAGTTCAGGGGGCACTGAGATACGAGTGTTCCTCGGGAGCGAGCTGTGGGATGATGGGAGCGAACGGGACACAGTATCCTGATGAAAGAGACAGAGAAAGAAGCTATGAGAATTAGAGAACATTATTTTCTTTAAGTGATAACATAAAATGGAAGCATATTTCTGCCACAGAATAAAAAATAAATTTCATGATTGCGATCTGCAATTCTGACTTTTTTCCCTCAAAAAAAAAAAAAAAAAAAAAAGTTATCTTGCAATTTTGACTCCCCCCAGTATTTAACAAAAAAACTGACACTTCTGACATTTTGAGATATAAACTCAGAATTGTGAGATCACAATTACCTTTTTTATATTTTTATTCCATTCCAGCTTTAACAGGAGAGTGCAAGACAGTAAGTAACATGCTTGTAAGAAAATGTGACAGCAGCTGTTGCCTGTTTCATATGGGAATTGTCTACACTTGTTTCTATTACCTGGAAAGTCTTAAAATATAATTATATACAAACATGATGTTTTTTCCTATTGGTTCAACAAGTCAGAATGGTTAACCAGCTGGCAACAAACCCCTATAAAGGAACTAAGAGGAAAAAGGCAAATGAAAAGACGTGTGGGAGAGAAAGAAAGAAAATGTCAACAGATTTGTCCTTGAACATCTTTGGCTCAGATCCCTGATTTGATTTGTTCAGTTAATTCAACAAATGACATTTTACTGTAGTAGTGCCCTGAGCAAAATTAAGACACATTAATACACATGCACCTACAAACATGTTCACACACAACACAAAGTCTGCATACCTTCTTAGCACCAGGAGGTGCGTCCAGGTTTGATTCTAACAGGAGAGTGCAAGACAGTAAGTAACAGGCTTGTAAGAAAATGTGACAGCAGCTGTTGCCTGTTTCATATGGGAATTGTCTACACTTGTTTCTATTACCTGGAAAGTCTTAAAATATAATTATATACAAACATGATGTTTTTTTCCTATTGGTTCAACAAGTCAGAATGGTTAACCAGCTGGCAACAAACCCCTATAAAGGAACTAAGAGGAAAAAGGCAAATGAAAAGACGTGTGGGAGAGAAAGAAAGAAAATGTCAACAGATTTGTCCTTGAACATCTTTGGCTCAGATCCCTGATTTGATTTGTTCAGTTAATTCAACAAATGACATTTTACTGTAGTAGTGCCCTGAGCAAAATTAAGACACATTAATACACATGCACCTACAAACATGTTCACACACAACACAAAGTCTGCATACCTTCTTAGCACCAGGAGGTGCGTCCAGGTTTGATTCTTTCCAGTTGCTGTTGGGTACAGATGGTCTGATCCATTCATTCTCTACAACATAAATAGGAAATCATGTAATTAAGAAAGAATTAACATTGAGAGAGTGACTAGACTACAGATGCTGGTTTGTGCTTACAGTCAATCCTCTATTGCATGATGGTAACAAACAATGTCTTCACATTGCAAGCACATGACATGGCGATAAATGGTTAATAATGATGTATGGTTAAAATGGAGGTTTGAATACTATCTTGGATTTTAATAAAAATTTAAAGATTGTGTAGAGCACTGGAGAAAAAGAATTAGAGAATATTAATAATAATATTGTAAACTTTTAGAGCACTGAAGTCATATTAATTATTTGTATATTATGAAGGCTTAAAGGGGTCATATGATGCAATTTCAAGTTTTCCTTTCTCTTTGGAGTGTTACAAGCTGTTCGTGCATAGATAAGATCCCTAAAGTTGCAAAGACTAAAGACTCAAACCTAAAGAGATATTCTTTATAGATCTTGGATTTTAATAAAAATTTAAAGATTGTGTAGAGCACTGGAGAAAAAGAATTAGAGAATATTAATAATAATAATATTGTAAACTTTTAGAGCACTGAAGTCATATTAATTATTTGTATATTATGAAGGCTTAAAGGGGTCATATGATGCAATTTCAAGTTTTCCTTTCTCTTTGGAGTGTTACAAGCTGTTCGTGCATAGATAAGATCCCTAAAGTTGCAAAGACTAAAGACTCAAACCTAAAGAGATATTCTTTATAAGTTTAGACTCGTCCACGCCCTCCTAAAATGCCTCGTTCAAACATGACCCCACATGTCTACGCCACTGTGTGGGAAGATTTACATAACACCACCCAAATGTTCACGCAAAGAAAGAAGACATAACTTTGATTCTTGCTGTAGTATTATTGACGCCGCCGCCATGTCGTGGAGATGCTGTGTTTCGTTGTGAAAGCGAAACTTTGTTTGGCCTTCCAAAAGAGGACACGACTAGAAATCAGTGGTTAAGTTGTATTTACAACACTGTTTCAGAACAGTTCAAACCAAATATTCAGATGTGTGCAGTGCATTTTACGGAGGCCTGTGTTAAATCAAATAAACACGACGTTTACTCAGTTAACGCACTTTATTCCTTTCATCACCTCGCTCACATAAGCAACACGGTTCAACACTATTCCTCTCCAACAACTCCCCCTTTTGCGCTCACCTTTGAACCAGTGCATGCGCTAACCTCATTTTTAACCCAGAAGAACCTTCTTCCATGTGAACAGAGTAGGGAGGAAATAACATGTTAACAATCTCCCTATACTTTAAACAAAATTAAATTATAAAATATAAATATAAATAAAAATATAAATTAAAAAAAACATACAAAACAAAGATTAGTTACCAAAACAAAATGTTGTATATCCTATTGAAAGTATCGTTTTATTCAAATGAACCTCTTTCCTCTCTTTTTATTTTTTTTTAACAAGTGTCCCCAGTCCTTGACGAAGTGCTTTCAATAGCACCATAGTCCTTCACTGAGTACTTTCAATAACATCAGGGCGGACGCTCCTTTTTTTGTAAGACAGTCAGCGAGTTCAGTTTTTGTGTCCGACAGAGTACCTTCTTGATTCTTTTACTCTGTATGAGCTCCTTTATGTTGCTTATTTCCAGTCGAAGACGTTTCTCAGAGACCTGTTTTGTTGACTTAAGGGCATCAAACAGAGAGCGGTTGTCTGTCACACAGATCAACGGAGGAGTATTCAGCTCAGCAGTTCCAGTAGTAAGTTCAGAAAAGAGTAGTGCTTGTCTCCTGTCACATACATGTTATCTGTGGGCCTAAGCTGCTAACGTAGTGCCCTTTTTATTCACTCAGAAGACTCTGCTTCTGTAAATGCTTTCCTAGAAGCATGTAAAGCAGAAATGTGTTCTCCCACTTTAGCACTCACAGTGGTACCTTCTAGAGCAGGCAATTTATCAACTAATACAGAAGGAAGGTTAGGATTCTGTCCAAACACTAATTGGTATGGACTGTAGCCATGAACATTCAACATACTGTTCTTAGCCATGAGGGCCCAGTCAAGGGCAGTGTGCCAGTCACATCCATTTTCTCGTTTGACCTTCAGGATGATCTCGGTGAGTGTTTGGTTATGTCTCTTGAGTAGTCCGTTGCTCCAGGGACTGTATCCAGCTGTTGTTCTTGTCTCGATGTAAAAGTTTTCAGCCATGTCTCTGATTTCTTGGTTGTTGAATTCCCCTCCATTATTACTGTACAGCTTCTGGGGGGCACCATGGACACTAAGTGTGAATGAAGGAGTTGACAATTTCAGATGACTTCTTTGTTTTCACAATGTTTCCGGCGCTGAAACGTGTAAAGTGGTCGATGATGTGAAGATACCATACACCTGGTTCTAACTCATGTAGATCCACTGCCACTGTCTCGTTATATTCTGAAGCCATGGGCAACCCCACAGCAGGCTTTGGCTTTGTCCTCTTGTACTTTTGGCATATTTCACAGTCATATACTATTTGTTGTAGAATAGTAAAACATTCTTTGTCCTTATTTCCTGAACTGTGAATGAGCCTCTGTAGCCTGTCTGCCGACGCGTGACCAAACTGTTTATGGAGCTTCAGAAGGACTTTGCGTTTCTCATCTGGAGACATATTTTCTGTCACTGTTAGAACTTCCTCTTCAGTTTGATCTTTTTTAGTGTCTTTGTCTCTGATATCGACACAGTAATGTCCAGAA